AACCAACTACAACCTCAAACTACAACCAACTACAACCTCAAACTACAACCAACTACAACCTCAAACTACAACCAGCTATAACCTCAAACTGCAACCCCCCCACTAACCAACTACAACCTCAAACTACAACCAACTACAACCTCAAACTACAACCAACTACAACCTCAAACTACAACCAGCTATAACCTCAAACTACAACCAACTACAACCTCAAACTACAACCTCAAACTACAACCTCAAACTACAACCAACTACAACAACCAACTACAATCTCAAACTACAACCAACTACAACCTCAAACTAAAACTAATTTGAGTGTTTTGCCAGCGTTGTAGTGGTCCTTTTACTCCAGTAAAGGGTCTGAATACTTCTTCCTGTGTCATGCATCATCACAGCCGACTGAAGAGCCGGATGAGGAAGTCATTTCATGGGACCTTTAACATTCAGTCGGGCTAAACAAACAACATAGCAGCTCGTGAGGACTGAAACTCTTCTCTCGGGGCGTTCGCCGTTCACGCCTCTGTGAACCACGCCTCAGCCGCTGAGCACAAACAGCATTTTTGATCCTCAACTTTTCAACCAAAGCCACCAGCTGCATTCGTCCTCGGTCATAAAGTCTCGGCGGTCCTCCGTCGAGAGCCTTCTCCCCCATTTGAATAACAATCGAAGCCCCGAACAGAGTGAATTAGAGGGCGTTTAATGAGCTCAGTACCAGCAGCATCACAACCTGTAAGAAGACACTGTACCCACTCAGATAAAACCCCGTTCACACTCAGCAGCAGATTACAGTCACATTACAGCGAGCACAATGAAGCACGCCTCAACAGGAACAATGAGAATGCATTTCTACTGCTGTGTGAGGGGAGAATGGATCCATAAGAAGGTTACTCAGAGAGAAAACACGAATGTTTATGTTCAGAATCAGAGGAGACACAGCTTCAGTACAGTCAGAAGCTCAAGTTTGGTTCTTGTGAGCATCATTCAGTTTGTTTTACAGACTCAACCTTCAGCTGAAGCAGAAACGTGTAAAACTGTCTGATCTATTTCAGAGATTTCATTCTCTGTGCTGGAGATGAAGTGTTGCCCGGCAACAGGTTGCTAACATGAAACACCACAGACATACTGATGACGTCATGCTTTTCATCCTGTTGATCCTCAATGATGGACGAGTGGAACGATAATCTGACATTACTACTGTATTACTACTGTATTACTGCTGTATTACTGCTGTATTATGATTGTATTTATATTGTAATACTATTGTATTTATATTGTATTACAACTGTATTTCTACTGTATTACTATTGTATTTCTACTGTATTTCTACTGTATTACAACTGTATTTCTACTGTATTTCTACTGTATTACTACTGTATTACTATTGTATTACAACTGTATTTCTATGGTGGTTAATGGTATGTGTATAAGTATTATTGCTACTTTAATGACAAATATTGAAGAAGTTGTTTTTTATAATTTGATCTGATTCATATTTGTTGTGAATCTTCTCCAATATGAACCATAAAAGTTGAACCACTGGAACATTTAGTTTCCTGGAACAGGTCCGTTTGTTTCATTATGAGAAATGTGAATGAGATGAATCTGTGAATGTGACCACAGCTCTGCTCTCAGTGAAGTAAAACAGCTTTCTACTGTAAAACTGGACTACGTTCAGTCATGGAGATAAGAATCAGCTGCAGCAGGAAGCATGGAGGAGGAGGAGGAGGAGGAGTGACCTTCACACTCCTCCACAACAACATCCACACCATAGAACTGTCCTTGCAGAGAAAGAAGGAACTCGATGTGTTAATTAATATATACATAATTAATAATAATATATCTATTCCTCTCTCTCTATATATATATACACACACAACAAAGGTTGAACATAAATCATTTCCATCAGGGCTAAGTGGAGAGCAGGGCCGTCCTTCAATCAGAGGATCGGCGGTTCGATCCCCGGCTCCGTCTAGTCGCATGTCGATGTGTCCTTGAGCAAGACACTTAACCCCAAAAATTGCTCCCGTAGCTGTGCCTACGGTGTGATAGGATCTGAGTTGTAAGTCTGCTAAGTGACTGTAATGTAATCATGGTACCCATGACTATGGCTGCAGGTGTTTTCATCCACTGCTCTTCACTAACAGATGTAGTTTAGTTGATGTTCTAAATAAACTGTTCAATGGTTCAACTAAAGAGACAAAGATGAATCAGAAGAGAAGAAATCAGCAGGAAGCTGTTTCTGTGTCAAGAGTTTCACAATAAAAGCATCTCATAACAAACTTGACTTAACTTTATCAAAGCTCTTCTTCAGACTTCATAGTAGAAGTTAGTGTAGAGTTACTGTTGGAACATCAGCTGAACTAATCACAGTTTAAACCTCTGCAATCAATAGTTACTGATCAATAATCAAACTGATACTACAGGATTCTGTTTCACATGTAAATAAAACATCTGGAGTCTGACTGATTCTGTGCTTGTCTCTTTTAGAATATTTAATATTCTACTAACGTCTCAACATACTGTGTATTGATCCTTTATTGGTTTAATCAGCGTGTTCTCACCTTTCAGTCCCTCTGCTAACGTGGCCGCCTCGTGCTCAGAGAAGTGCACTATGGGAGGAGGAGACGGCGGTCTCAGCCGGTCCTCGTGGACCTTGCGGCGGTGTCGCTCCTCTCGGGCCAGCAGGCGCTGCTGACACTCCCACTCGTACAGGTCGTCTCTGGCCTGAGCGAAGTCCACGTGGATCCTCCCCGAGTCCTTCTTATCGGTGCTGGAGCCGATTCGCATCCGGTACCCTGAGAGGAGACGGAGAGCCAGGAGCATGAGACGAGAAGTCCCTCCTCTTCCTCACAGGAAGTCACGTTATTAGGTGATCAGAAAACAGATTCACCTGAGCTGTAGGAAACATTTAGACCTGCTGCAGGTCTGTTCAGTCTATATGTTAGAAATATAGACGGTCTACAAGAAGAGGACATAGTCCTCATGATGTCTCTCGTTGGTTTGTGGAAGTTTTGAAGCCTCGAGTTTGGCGATTTTGACGTTGCCATGTTCCCCTTCAAGCATACCCTGCTTAATCACAGCTATACCTTCCGAAAATAACGCGCTGTAATGCGTAAATATCCCACAAAATTATTTCATACGTTATCCACTGTGATGTCATGAGAGGGAGGGTCATCAAAGGGAGATACATCCCCTCCCGGTGGCTGCAGCAAAGACTACAACCCTTCATGGCATCGGGGTAACAAACTACAATTCCCATAGTCAGCAGGGCAGCCGGGGCCAAGGCGACGGCCCAGCTGAAAGAGAGGGGACTGATTACCCGGGAGAGGTTGGTGTGGGGAAGAAGAAGGAAATGTTTGGAGAGAGGAGGACAGGAGCGCACAAAGAGGAAAAGAGTTTTATTTTACATTAAAGACAACGAACCCGAAGAAAACGGAAGATACTTATGTTTGGTTTTTGTAGTGGCTTTCGGCTGGACTGAAGTTTACCTTTTGTTTAAAGAATCTAAATATATTATTTTGAGTTAGAACACAACCGCTTGTTGTCTTCATTTGTGCACCCCCGCCTCACAAGCTGATCCCGACCTCTCAAGACATCACACCACCTAAACCTAAAAGTAGTGTTGTGGTCTCAACCTAACTGAGCAGTTTTGTTGTCTCAACCTAACTAAATAGTTTTGTTGTCTCAACCTAACTAAGTAGTTTTGTTGTCTAAACCGAACTGACTAGTTTTGTTGTCTCATCTCAGTATCATACGAACTGTTGAAGGAAGATACGTCTTTTTTCTGCTTCGCTTCTTCAACTTTTGAGCTGCTGTGACGGTTGAGTTTCTCTGATGTGGAATCAATAAAGTTCTCATCTTAACTGTGTTGGAACACATAACAAATGATAGACAAGTGTGTGTGTACTCTCACCTGACAGGTACAGAGCCTTGTCCACCATGAACTCCTCACAGAAGCGGATGTGACAGAAGTTCTTCTTGCTCTTGCGGATGGCGATGATTTCTCCACACGGGTCGAACACTTCTTTGACGATCTCCTCCGTGGCGTTCTCCGGCAGACCGCCAACAAACACCGTCTTACAGCCGGGTGGGCGCTCCCGAGTGGAAGGAGGGGGCAGGTCTGAGGACAGCATCATCATCATCATCGTCACTAAAATACATCTCATCTGGATAAAATGTGTCTCTAAATGTTCTTTAATTATCAGAGTTTTTCTGGCCCTGATCCAAGTCCTTTAATATTAATATGAACATGATTGATTCTCTATAGATACAAAGTCTGATTGGATACTTATTTTTACATATACTTATTAATGACTACATATGAATGATAGCTTGTTGAGCTCTAAATACTGAAAGTTATGATTCATAATTGTTGTGTTTATCAATTTAACTTATTAGTAAAGAAAGGATTAGATCAGCTTTATGTTAGCTATAATATGAATACTTATAAGTATTAGTATAATAATAACAATACTGATATTATAGGAATGACAATAATAATATTAATAATAATAAAACCAATTATAATTATAACAATGATAATGATAATAATATAAATACAACTATTTCTACTACTACTACTATGAATATGAATACAACTAATACTTTTTCTACTAATAATAATAATAACTAGAAAATTCCTCAAGAAATTTTGATAGTGTGGCTTCTACTGCCCGAGGAAATCGCAATATATACACACGCCAACGTTACCGGTCGTGTCATTCAGGTTCAATTGGGATAGCACTACTTTTTTTTCTGCATTTTAGATTCATACTCTTGGATTGAATCTTGCATTTGTGGGGCTTTTATTTTGAAAGGGTGGGACTGGGTGAGAGAGAGAGAGAGAGAGAGAGAGAGAGAGAGAGAGAGAGCCTGCGTGTGTGTAACTGTGGGGAGGACGCACCTGGTGTTAGAGGCAGACTGATTAAGAAACGTTGCAGTAATCAGTGATTTTGAACAAAACCCCTGCCTCTTTTTAACAAATTAGCAGGAGTCTGAGTGCCAAAATATGGATACCTAATCTGTGACTTTATGAAAACTGTGCTAGCTATCAAAATGTCCATTTGGCTCAATACAGTGCAGCGTTTTGTCTACGTTTTAAACTTTGAATCACGTTTCTACGTTAAAGTACGGCTAGTTAATATGGGCCCAAATTTAAGTGTTTCTTTTAGCTCTCTTCACGCCGAAACCCCATTCAAGTCAATGGGGCAATTTTTCTCCATTTTTGGGAAAACTGGTGGGCGAATCTCTCCGAAAAATAGATACCACACTATTCCCGTTTCGATGTATTTTTCACGCCGCTGTTGGCAACGCTGTGTGAGGAGAAGTGCGCCAAACTTTTGGATAAAGATTATTCAGTGTGGCTTTGTGGCACAGGCAGTTCTGTGCCAAAGCACACTTTATATTATCCATCGGGCTTAATCATAATAATCAGGTTTATCCAAAAGTTTGCTGCGCTTCTCCTCACACAGCGTTGCCAACAGCGGCGTGAAAAATACATCAAAACGTGCGGCCTGATCGGGAATAGTGTGCTATCTATTTTTCGGAGAGATTCGCCCTGCGGTTTTCCCGAAAATCCCAAAAAACGGAGCCCCATTCACTTGAATGGGGTTTCAGCGTGAAGAGAGCTAAAAAAAACACTTAAATTTGGGCCCATATTGACGAGCCGTACTTTAACGTAGAAACGTGATTCAAAGTTTAAAACATAGACAAAACGCTGCACTGTATTGAGCCAAATGGACATTTTGATAGCTAGCACAGTTTTCATAAAGTCACAGATTAAGTTTCAGGAAAATTTTGGGTCTGTTTCAGATTTTATAATGGGTGTGTATTGCATGGCTCGTTAAGAGCTAGAGTGAGAGCATAACTGTCAGAGTGGAGCGGAGCTTGAAAATCTTCTGTGATTTTTCCAAACAAATTGCTCCAGCTCCCACAATGTTTACTCTTTATACACCATTTTTGGCCCAAAAGCTTGGAAATGTTGTGCTGGTCGCAGTAAAGTGTCTGTGGAATCCACGGACTTACACATTTGGCTCAAAGAGCCACAGAGCGACATGAACTCCAACCAACTGCTCCATTAGACTCCATGTTAAATCTCACCACTCATTTCTCAAAGAAAGCAGATGGTACCAGTTTTGCATATTGCTCTGGAGCTCACATTATGAACACCACAAACATAAAAAACACATCAGCACGTTTGCCAGAGTCTTATCTTTCTCACGGTATCCATATTTTGGCACTCAGACTCCTGCTAATTTGCTAAAAAGAGGCAGGGGTTTTGTTCAAAATCACTGATTACTGCAACTTTTCTTAATCAGTCTGCCTCTAACACCAGGTGCGTGGCTCACCATGGCAACCAGTTACACACACGCACGCAGGCTCTCGCTCTCTGTCTGTCTCTCTCCCCCACTCACTCAGTCCATCTAACTGTCTGTCTGCCCGTCTCACTCAGCCTCTCTCTCCTCTCTGTCTATCTTTCTGTCTGTCTCTCTCTCCCTCTCTGTGTCTCTCTATCATACAGTCATTCAGGTCTTAGATATTTTTAGAGGACTTTTCCCCTCTCACCACCCCCCCTCCCCCCCCCCCCCCCCCCCCCCATTTCAAATTAAAAGCCCCACAGAATGAATTCTAACTGGAATGCTTGTGATGAAGCCTCTCATTTTAGTGTCAAACATTATGATTCTGTCTCCCCTCCCCCTCTCTCACCCACCCAGTCCCACCCTTTCAAAATAAAAGCCCCACAAATACAAGATTCAATCCAAGATTATGAATCTAAAATGCAGAAAAGAGAGTAGCGCTATCTCAATTGAACCTGAATGACACTACCGATAACATTGGCGTGTGTATATTGCGATTTCTTCGGGCAGTAGAAGCCACACTGTCAATTTCTTTAGGAATTTTCTAGTTATTATGATTAAGCCCGCAGGATTACAGTCAGTGTGCTTTGGCACAGGCAGTTTTACTGCCTTTGTGCTACAAAGCCACACTGAATTATTGGAATCTAAAGAGCTGAATAATATTCATGACATATATACATAAATAAGAGGACATATAGAGGTCCAGGTCTGCTGCTCTGCTGGTCTCACTGTGGTTCTGAGGGAACAGGGTGCAGCTCTTGCTGTGAATGATCTCCTTGACGACCGGCATGTCGGGGGGGACGGGCGGGGGGGGGCACCAGGCTGAGTCCCATCAGGGGGTTCATGGGAGACATGAGACCCAGACCAGGGTCGAACCTCTGGAGACACAGAGAGTCTGCAGGACGGAGACAAAGATGAACGGAGACACAGACAGAGAGAGACAGACAGAGACACAGACAGAGACAGACACAGACACAGAGACAGAGAGAGACACAGACAGAGACAGACACAGACACAGACAGAGACACAGACAGAGACACAGACAGACAGAGACACAGACAGAGACACAGACAGACAGAGACACAGACAGAGACACAGACAGACACAGAGAGAGAGACACAGACAGAGACAGACACAGACAGACACAGAGAGAGAGACACAGACAGACACAGACGGAGACAGACGGAGACACAGACGGAGACAGACAGACAGAGACGGAGACACAGACAGACACAGACAGACAGAGACATAGACAGACGGAGTCCATGAGTTCACAAAGAATGGAATGCAGCCACTGTCTGCTCATTGTACTTATACTTCATCACAAAGTACTCACATGGTTTCATTTCAACAACTGTTTCATTTACTGTCTAAATGTACTTTTGCTGTCTAGAGCTGAAAATACTATAGTACTGCTACTGCCCAACATGTACTTTTACTGCATTTCTACTGAATGTAGCTTAATACTTGTGTACTAATACTGGTGATACTTTACTGTTTTGTGTAGTATTTCTGCATTGCTGTAATGGTACCTTTACTCCTGAGTTCTTGCTGTGTGAACTTTATTAGTGTTTCATATTTTAAACAGTCGTTTGTCTCCTGATATTCATCATCATTGGTTGTTTCTTTACAGTTCTCACATAAACCTCACGAGGACTTTGTCCTGTGAAACTACAGCAAAGACACAAAGACGAAGACTCTGTGTCTCATTTATCAAACACAGAAAAACACACCAGGACAGAAAAAGAGGAAGAAAACAACGACCTGCAGCTCCCTGATGTTGAACTCAGACTAAATGGAGTTAGTCTACTTTAAATCAGTGATGATGTAGTAATGATGTGGTTTCTCTAGAAGGCATTGCTCTGAGTTACCTTTGATCAGGATTTGTCTTTTAACTCCCAGAAAAAACACATTTCAAGGACTGCCTGTTTTCACCTACGTAACATTTCTTTAAATCAGGCCCATCGTGTCTCAAGTGATGCAGAGAGATGAGTTCATGCATTTGTTACTTCTAGACTACACTCCTGTAGTTCCTTATTCTCAGGTTTGACCTGTTAAAGGGATTTTGGGGAGTTTTTCTTGACGGAGGATGTCGTATGTGTACAGGTTGTAAAGAACTCTGAGGGAAAGCTACAGAATAAATTGAATGACATTGAACAACTAAAATAAGAATATGATAAAGATAAAGAAGCAGAAACTATTGACATAATATTTCATTTGATGTGAGTAGTTTCTTTTTAGAGATGAATGCATGAAGCAGTATCTCAATAACTGCTTTATTTTCTCATGTTTGGCTTCAGTGGAGAAAAAGAAAACACGATAATCTCCCATAAATCTGAGCGAGTGCAGTCGAGCTGCTTTCACCTCCAGTCTAAGGAAAACTCATTAAGCGTCATGTGCGATAACCCCGACAGGTAGATTAACATCGGCCTGCAGCACATTCATCTTCATCATCATCATCACACGGAGGGCTTTCTCCCAAAGCTACAACTATTCACCAGCTTCACTTCTCTCTGCTCCTACTACTGCTACTACTACTACTATTACTACTACTACTGCTCCTACTACTGCTACTACTACTATTACTACTGCTACTACTACTACTATTACTACTATTACTACTACTGCTACTACTACTACTACTATTACTACTACTACTACTGCTCCTACTACTACTGCTCCTACTACTGCTACTACTACTATTACTACTACTACTGCTACTGCTACTACTCCTACTATTACTACTTCTGCTACTACTACTATTACTACTACTGCTACTACTACTATTACTACTACTACTACTACTGCTACTACTATTACTGCTACTACTG